TCCGCACGGCCATGGCAGCCATTGAAGACATAGCTTAGCGATCTTTTATAGGAGGATGGTTCTTTCAAAGCAAGGAATGACGAAAAGTGATTAAGAGTTATGATTAAGTGCAATATTTTCTAACTAACAATTGTCACCTTCTTATTGAATTCATCCAAGGTGTTCTCAGACACTATTGAGTTTTTTTCCTGCATTTTTTACTAGAACCAATTATCGCACAAGTGATTTCTTAGAAAGTCAGTTCATTTGTGCATATTCTACATCTAAACTCTTCTTTGATTTGGAGTTATACGTTCGGAGGCGGCCGAGTGGTACCGTTTTCCCAGAAGGTACGCGTAACGCTTGCGAAGCACAGGCACTTTTTCCTTTCCGCCTTTCTCTTTTGGACCTTAAGCGTAGAGCTCTTCCCTGAACATGCTTAGGCAAAAGTGCCGCAGATTTGAGCAAAATGAGGTATTTCTCTATAAGCGTTTTCTTTTTTCGTCTTCCGCCATACACCCGTTTTTTTTTTCCTGGCCTTCGTTATATTTTCGTGCTATAATACAGCAAAAAGCCATTTTCGGGAGCTCTTAGGCTTTCTGAAATGACGAAAAGCCTTCCACGCACACACTAGCTGAATAATGGACAGTACAAGCTCTTGAGTTTGAAGTTGGTGAAGTTATAGACTAATGCTTCGATATAGTTTCAGGTGAAAGTGAAGATTGAAGATTTAAGAGACTAAAGTTAATTCTATAAACCACTTTTTTTTTGAAGTCCTACTTATCAATCTCTATCGAATTGGTGAAGCATTTTCTTCTTTTTCGTCGTTAGTGCTACCCACTAGAAACAGATTCTGCCACACATTGACTAAATTAAGTCCTCTGATTCACTGAAGATAAGATAATTGAATTTTTCACTGTAGTGGAAGACGTTTCCAAAGTGATTTTTCATATAGACTCCAGCTTGAAAGACCTGCCGCGACGCGAACCGCCCGCGCAGCCTGCTACGTAGATTTAGATGGCGCCGACATTTAGTCCGTTTCAAATAGTATCGGTGAGAAAGTCGCACTTGGATGTCATGCGCCCCTAAGCATCACAGGCGGCCTTTGTACTTCGTTAGGGTATCTCTATACTTCGTAGAAATCGTTGATTCAGATCAAGCGCTCAGTGCAGTAAGCATCGAGATCGAGGATGCGTGGCGGTTGCGGTGCTACCCCCTTGTGTACCGTTATGCCGTATATCGATTACACTAGCTCTTCAGCTATTTTTTCTTCATTTGACTTGTTTTTTTTTATCTTTAGGTTATTTTAGTGTCCAGAATTTGGCAGCAAGTGTGCTGGAAAGATGACCCGGGC